CGGTCTGGACACTCGCTCCTGAGCGTTGGCTAGAAGAAAAGGGAAACACGTGCTCTCCACACATAAACAAAATTAAGTTAATTTACAATAAAATAAAATTAAATAAAATAATTAATAAAATATAGCTCATTACATAAATATAATATAAAAAAGAAAACGATACCCGGTCTCCGAAGAGACCCATCCGATGGTCTGGATGCTTCGCCGAAAAGACCTGGCCGTTTGCCGTTGGCGGCTCTACTCCATCATTGAAAAATATGTCAATAAAACAACAAATGTGTGCACCCTAGCACGGTCAATGACAGAAGAAAGAATAGAGAAGAGTCAACACCGATCTAACGGCAATTTCAAAACGATAACGGCCAGTCTTTTTGGAAGGGATCAATACGATAACAATTCGATTTTAATTATATTTCTCTTTTATCGCCTTATCTAGCGGTCAGCGGTAAAATAATGAGTGGTTGACACCGCTGTGTCAGAAAAAGGTTCTTTCGCGCGATAAAATAAATAAGTAGACATAACAAAAAAATCATAAACGGTCCACCTTCGAATTTGTGACGTTACAAACTATAAAGATGTTCTTGTTAAACTATTCTATTATATTTTTAATAAATCTTAAAAAATGGGCTTGTTTCCGGAAATTTGGAAAAAGTCATACATTACTCCAATACATAAGTCAGGTGTTAAATCAAATGTTTGTAACTATGGACCTATATCAAAATTATCAGTTATTCCTAAAATGTTTGAATCCATTATCACTAAAAAGTTATCATTTTTAATGTCACAACAACTAGTTAGTAATCAACATGGTTTTAGACAAAAAAAATCAACGCTTACTAATATTCTTTTATATCAATCAAAAATTATTTCTGCTTTTAATGAGGGGCAGCAAATTGATTCAATATACACAGATTTTCAAAAAGCATTTGACAAAGTAAACCATAAACTCTTATCATTAAAATTAGAATATTTTGGATTAAAAGGCTCGTTATTAAATTGGATTAAATCGTATTTGGTTAATCGGACACAAGTGTTAAAATTTCTCTCAGTTGTTTTAAATTATATTAAAGTACACTCTGGGGTGCCACAAGGTTCTCATTTAGGTCCTTTATTATTTATTATATATATAAATGGCTTGCCTAGTATTTTTGATACCCCTATAAATATTTTATTGTTTGCTGATGATGCCAAAATATTTACGGTTATCAACTCAATGAGTTATTGTATTAAATTACAGTTAAACATTGAAAAATTATATAATTGGAGTGTTACAAATGAATTATCTCTGAACTTAAGCAAATGTAGAGTTATATCATTTTCCCGTAAAAAAGATCTCATTTTCTTTAACTATAGTTTGTGTAATTCCAGTTTAACTATGGTTGATTTCATAAGTGATTTGGGAATAATTTTTGAGGATAATCTTTCCTTTACTAGACATATAAATTTATCAGTCAGTAATGCTTTTATGAGTTTGGGTTTTCTTAATAGAAATACTAAATATTTTAAAAACATAAATACTTTAAAATTGTTAAATTTTTCTCTTGTCAGATCAAAGCTTGAGTTTGGTTCTTTAGTTTGGTCCCCTAATTATGCTGTTTACATTAATTTATTAGAAAACGTCCAATACAAGTATACGAAATCTATCTGTTTTAAATTAAATATTAGTCTTTCTAGGGATTCATATTATTTACATTCTACTGAGTTAGGTATTACATCTTGTGAACTTAGAAGAAGAGTTAGTGATATTATGTTTTTATATGACTTACTAAATGGTTACGTAGATTGCCCAGAGTTACTTTCAATGGTTGGCTTTAGAACTAGTCAAATAAACCTCAGAGTTATTAAACTGTTTCATATTCCTTTCTGTACCACTAATTAGAGTTCAGCATCATATTTTCCTCGAGTCCTATTGTTAGCTAATAAAATTTTAAACATTGTTGATTTTTTCTATATGTCTCGTGATGTCTTCAAGTCGAATATTTATAATGCATTATCTAATTGTATATTGTAATTTGTTTATATCTAATTGTTTATTATTAATCTGATAGTATTTAGTAAAAATTGTATTTTTTCATTTAATTTATGTTAACTAAGAAATTATTGTATTTATTCTATCGCATTATGTTAAAGGATTATTTTTTTTATCCGTTTATAATTTAAAATAAAATAAATAAGTCGGTTCGGTGAGAGCTGAGAAAAAGTGGTAACAGACACAAAAAAAAAACACATCATAGTATAATTAATACTTTCTCAACGTCGCATCGAAGCTAAAAAATTACAAGCAACTTTGTTGTAAAATTTTTTTTCCGATTAATCGTTCGTCCGTTACAGCTTGTTAAAGTTGAGTGATTTTAGGCCAAGTTTCTATTTTTATATTACTGTACTAAATACAGAAGTCATTATTTTTATTTGCTGTTGCATAAGGGTTACGGAAATTGCCACGAACTGATGATGCCCCGACATTCATTTACTCCGACACTGTAAAAAAATCCTCCGAATACATTTACTCCGACAACAATTACTACGAATACCCGGTTACAAAATTTTGGATTTTACTACGACGATGAATACTTCGAATAGGACTATTAATTGATTGCTCCGAATGAAATTTGCTCCAAATATCGATTATTCGCAAAATCGATTACAAAATTATGAAATTTCGGATTAGATGAATATCGTAGCAATACATTATCTGATGGAAAAATATAACCCTTATCACTAATTAATATAATAAAATAGCGTTATAATTGATTACTGTCTATTAACGAATAATTATTACAATAAAGATCCCCGAAATGTATCCGACATAATTTTTTTTATACTAAAACCTTAGATATTTACCTTTCATTTGATATCATTTTTTTGAAAATCTATCACTTAACCTGCTCATTGGGGAGGATTTAAAATAGCAACTTTTTTACCAAAATTAACTTTTTCAACTTAATTTTTGAAAATGTTCCGGAAATACTGCGTCCTTCAAACATATATCAAATTAAAGCTTATTTTATGTACTATAAAATAAAAAAAACTAATTTGTCCCGACACTTTTTCTTCTACATTTAAACGGATGCCCTAGTTAAAAAAACACTATTTTTGTGTTAAAATTTTCGATTTTAAATTTTAACTTAAAAATGCTATAACTTTTTGAAAAATGTATATATCAGAACAAATTTTTTTTTTCTAAATACTTTATAAATATATCTTACATTTGACATACATTTATTAAAATTAGACAATTTCCCCTTATATAGGGGGCGTCCAAAATTTGAAATATTGTAAAAACATAGATCTTTTTCAACTTAATTTTTGAAAATGTTCTGGAAATACTGCGTCCTTTAAACAAATATCAAATTAAAGCTTATTTTATGTAATATAAAATGAAAAAAAAAATTTGTCCCGACGACCTATCTTCTATGCGCAAATGGCTACCATATTAAAAATATGCTATTCTAACAAAACATTTTTTTTAATTAAACACTATCTACAGATTTGCATCGAAGCGTTTTTTATGATAGTGATTTTAATCATCAGATATCATCCATACTGAACCCAACTATGCCACGACCCCACTATGCCACCACCCCACTTTGCCGCCACCCAACTGTGCTTAATTTTTTTTATAGGACATATTTATATAAAATTACATTTTTACAAAACATAATACATTACATTACGTGATTTTATTTTGAAAATTAATTTTTATTTTTTTTGGAATATGCTTTCATATTCTAAAAAGTACATATAAAATTAATTCATATTTTTTAAAAGACATCTTTTCGGCCTGGCTCAGAAGGCCCTCATTTAATTTATTATTTTTTTTCTCGTTGGACCACTGAGAAAATTGTCCAAAAAATTTAATTATTATTAAAAAAAGGAAAGGCTATTCAGATATTTTTTTCAAGGAAATATCAAACTGATTTCAATAAATATATATTAGATTTTAAACAAAAAGAACTTTAAATAAATAATTTTTTACTCCTTAATATTTTTAACATTTCTTTGAGCACCACTGGAAATTATAATGGTTTTACTTATAATTTAACATTGATTATAAAACTCATGTCACAAAATTAAAATTTTTTAACGATGAGTTAATATATTTTTACTTTTAGATGACACACAGAATTTTTAAATAAGAAAAAATTAATTCTACTTATATATAACCAAAACTTACTAATTCTTAGCATAACTCATATTAGAACTAGTAGCAAAACTTATACAGTTTAATACTATTTTAATTTTTTTTAATATAAGTTAAAAATAATTTTAGTAATTAATTTTCAAATAAAATTATTGAAAGAAAAATTAATCATACTCTTCTGAGTCTACAAAAACCTATTGGAAGAAACTTCCAGAAAGTAATAGGACTACAAAAAATGTGTTCAACAATTACTGCATTGAAGTTGGATATACTGTGTTATTTTATACTTAGATATCCTAATGCAGCACAGGAAAAAATCCAAACATCCCCAAGAATGATTTTATATTGTACAAATATTAACAATTTTATGTATATATTAGTTATTATTTTTTAATATTACACACTTAGGAATTATTCACTAATAACATTGGAAATGACAATTTTTACAGTACATATTTGTTATAGAAAAATTAGTTTTCAAATGGATCTCTTAGATGTTCAAAAATAAGTTACTGNTATAGAAAAATTAGTTTTCAAATGGATCTCTTAGATGTTAAAAAATAAGTTACTGTTAGATAAAATTTTGTGGATCGACTGAAGAAACAGTTAACTAACAGTTTTTTGATTTGATGAAAATATTTTGTAATTATTGGATAATTAAAAAATAAAATTCTCAAAGATAAATATATATTTTAACAATAGAGTAAACTTTTTCAAAAATGTACATTTGTATTAAACACTATTAATTTTATGTTACTTAATGAATGACTATTATCATTCGAGTATTAATAACATTTGTCAAATGTGAGAAATTGTACCAGAAAATAATAAGCAAAATGTATATTATTGTATAATAACTATAGTAGCAAATAAATGCTAATATAATAGAACGTTTTAATTTAAATTTTACAATATTATTAATAATAATATAATTAATTTAATAATGTAGTGTTTCTGTAGCCACGTGACTCTGACGTTGTAACATATACGATCGATGCGCACTATTACTAATAATACAATTGAAATATAATATAGCTTTCGATGCATAATCAAACTATCGATAATGTCGGAGTTTTAACTGTCTCATTTTTTAATGTAATGTCGGAGTAAAATCCGTCGTAATTTTGGTAACCTTTGGTATCAGATGGTCGGAGTATCAGATATCGTAACAATTACTACTTTGTCAAATGTCGAAGTATGTAAATGTTGGAGTATTATCAGTTCGTGGCAAAGGTGCTTGCCCGTTGCATTAACCAAATTTTATTGATCAAGTAATGACATGTAAATTAACTATAAAAATTTACGACGTACTAAATGAAAAATAACAATAATAGATACAAATCTGATTTTCGGTGTATTATTAATAGCTAAGTCTATGTGTATGTAAGACTAAAGCATACATTTCTTAGCCTCTCTTCGCCATAGTATAGTAACTAAATACAATCAATTACTACGATAATGTTATCGTAATCATTCGTTACACAAAATAATCTTTTTAATTTTTGTTGACTGATATGAATTCAAAGTTTTAACTTACCATATAAACGCTCGTCTTTTAAAAGATTTTAGTTCATTATTTTACTATCTTAAACATTACCTTAAAAAACTGAACTGGTACAGTACTAATTTGCCGACTGTACTACAAGCTTGCGTGGTCAAACATTTTTGTACATTATTAACGTTACATTGTTTTATTATTATCTAAATATAGTGTTTTAGTGCAGCGTATTAATAAAAAAAAGGTTTTATTTGTATGTCGTTACAATAAAAAAATTATTTTTGAATGTTTATTGAAATAATTAAATTAAAAGAAAATTGAATAATAGTCGAGTACAATATACAATGAAATAAGCTTTATAGCTCTGTCTTAGTAATTTTATTTTATGAAATAGCAGCATAAAAAATGAAATTTACCGAAAAATTAAAGAGATTAATTTTTGAAGATATTTACAGTTTTGGATTTGCTGCTGTTGAAAGACAAAATTATCGAAAAATTTAACATTTTTCTCTTTTGAGAAAAATAAGTTTTGCTGTAGTGACATTTTACTTAAAAAGTAAGTAGATATAATAATGTAATATTAGATGTGTAGTAAAATTAAGGCCAAATTTAGAAAAACTCCAGGCTCCAAAAATATATATTGATGATCTTTTTTTGGCCATACATTTTTACTTTATTTTCCGACTATTCCAAAATGATTATAATATACAGAACTTTATTGGTATACTATATTTAACAATTTTATGAGTAATTATCTAAATTTAACTATTTTAAATACATTTTTTTTTTAAATTTAACATTATACCCATATTGAAATTAAAAATTTGAATAATTGTGAATGTTATAAATGAAATGATATTAATAATATGATATTTTAAAACATTTTGGATGTAATAAACTTCAATAACCTTTATTATGAAAGTATGTTAAAATACTATTTTTATATTGCTACATTTAAAATAATGTAATTTTAAAACTGATTTTAAACTTTTCATTGATTGATTAAAATAATATTTATCATAGTTAAATTAGAGTTCTCAAATTGAATAATTGTAAGAATCAGCTACTGAATATTAATACACAATTTAATAAGGAGAACTTATGATTGTGTTATGTTTCATTGTAGATAATAAATAAATATTAAGCAACCATTTTGATAAGGTGCTCATAGCTATTATTATTTAATTAAGCGCGCATGGATTAGAACACTTAATTTATTTCACGAAGTAGTAACAAGTGCCCTTAAAATATATAAAAATTTGCAAAAATTAAAATTACTTTGATTTTTGTTTAGAAAGTTGCCGACAGTAAATAAATTTGTTAAAAAAATTGTTTTAATATAAATTCAGTTTTTAGTTATTTTTTATAATTAATAATCTATTCCTTAATTTGATTTCAGTTTTTAGTTTTGATACCTGCTATTGTAAGTTATCATCTGTATTTTTAAGTATGCACTTAAAAATAATATCACACTAATATCCTAATCATATTAAGAAACAAAAAAGATTGTAATCATGATTTTTTATTACTGTCTATCATAATAAAGTCATCTATTGAATAAACATAGTTCTCGAACAAACTAAAGTGAGTTTTATGAAATAAATTTTACTTTTTTAGTATTACAAATTTTATTTCATGTAAGTTAATTAATTTTGTTATAAATTTGATTTCAGTTATAGTTTTTGTACAATTTTGATGTCTATTGGTTTTGTATACACTTGTCTTAGCATACTACATTAGCAAGCTTTAATTCATTATCAGATCAACATTATAATGAATTATTATACTACAATGACAGTATTGTAGCTAAATTTCTCATTTGAATTCTCTTTGAGCAATGTTAGGTTGCAAAAAATAAATAAATCTAATAAAAATTTAAGATATAAGTAATTGTTATTTTATATGTTACATTCAAGTATTTAAAAAAAAACTATAGTAAAATTATTATTTTTATAGATATTATGTTTACTACAGTAGAATTTTGATAGGGTTAAGTATATTCTGTTCCTTGAAAAAGGAAATTTTACTCATAATAAATAAATATTATAGATAATAAAAACAAGTTATTTGTAGTTTTTAACTGAAAGATTTGACTGTGGTAAGTTAGACTAGTTAAAACAATTATTTTTAATTTAAAAGCTGTTAATTATTAAAATAAATACATAAATTCATCAAAACTTCATAAATTTTAGTATTGCCAATTGGAATCAATCTGTTATATTTTTATAAATAACTGTTGAATACAAAATCAAATTCTTAAATAATTTTAAGTCATTTTTAGTTCAAAAACCTTATTAAGTTAAAAAAAAATAATTTCCCTTGAGCTTTAACTTATCCAGGTTCTACTGTATTTTAAAATTGGTATCAATGTCGTACCAAGAAAAGGGAATAGGATGTATAAGGTTTATACACTTTGCAATTTTTAATTGTTATAATTGGCAGTTATTTAATATTAAAGGATGCTAACATATAATTAAAAACTCCATACTAGACCTAACCCCAAGACCTATACTAGCGGAGGCATGATTGCAATGCATTTTATGAGGAAACAAGGTTTTTTTTTTGTGAAAATTGTTTTTTTTTTCATTAAGAATTGTTGAAATGTCTGTAGGAGGGTTATCTTAATACTTAATTTTCTATGACATTACGCATATTCTACAAGAATTCATGTATTAAGCATATTCTGTCATGGAATAAAGTATAAAGTTTAACTCTCATACAGGTGTTTCACAATTCCAAAGTGAAAAAAATTCTAAGTTGAGCAAAAGAAAAAAAGTTTTCGACAAAATAATGATAAAACATAATTGAAACGGTCATTTCAAAAACGATATAAGTAATAAAATTTTGATTTACATGTATCAAAAAAAACTTAAATACTCTAGAAATCCAACTTGTTTTGCACTTGCACCTATTTACTAATTTATTTTTAAGGTTTCTGGTATTCATAATCCATAGTTTTAAATAGTCTAACTTTGGCCAAATTATTAAATTGAAATAAAAGATTTTTGATTTGCATTATTTTTGCAGTGAATAGAAATTTATAATATGAAATTTAAATCAAGAAATAAAATAAAATAATATTTTTTTTCCTAATTATTTAATTTATCTTAACTTGGCTATAGGTAACAAAACTTAGAACAACTTTTTTCAAAATAAAAATTTTGTTGTTTTTGCTTAATAAACCATTGCACTTTTAATAAAACATTAAAAAATAAATAAAATATTTCTCTTTAATAACAAAAACTTAACTTGACAAAATGTTACAATACAGAAACATTTTTGAATGAAGTCATTGACTTTTGTAGTAAATATCAGTTTCACAAATGAAATTTTTACACAAAATACATAAGTATACATAATAATGTATAATTATCAAATTTGACAAAGTCATTACTGTAAAATCAGTGACAAATGTAGTTTTTGAAATGACTTATTCAATTGAAGTACTGGTTTCAAAAACAACCAGCATTTTGTATAACATACAAATTCATGCAATTTTGAGCCTTAATCAGGGTTGGGTAATAAAATGTATATTTGGTTTTATTTATACTATGCATAATACACACATACTGGTGTTCAGTAAAGAAATAGGTTAATTGTTATGAATATAAGAACTATAGATACCTGTTTCCTTATTTACAGAACATTTATAGATGTAGATGTATAATTCTTTAAAAAAATTTTATTCTTAAATAGATCACACTGATTTTAAACCTTTTTATTTTTATAAACATCAGTTTATGATCTCATAAAATTAAAAAATTATTAACTTTTTATGTTTTGTGTGATAAATTATGTGTTAGTCATTCTTGTGAAAATTTGTTGGGATTTCAGCCATTATATTTTTAAAGTGAAGTAAAAATTAATAAATAAATACAATATTTTAGTATAAATTAAAAAAATAATCTATTTTTAATTATGAATCATTTGTCATGATATAAGTATTGTTTGTAAAAAAGTAGATGTGTAATATGTACATATAATACTTATACTTTTGTGTATTATACTGACCCAACTCTGACCTTAAAAGACAAACGAGCAAAAGTGTCATTTTGTAGAGGCCCACGAAAAATTTAGTATTTGATAGTTGTTAATTATTTCTATGTACACAAATTTATTACTGTAAATGTAAGTATAGTATGTTCATATTAATTATAAATTTTTTGTTCTAATAATAATGTATTTATCAGAATATAGACAAGATATAATAAAAATTAGTAATTATAACTAAATAATTAAAATATTGCAAAACATTTTTCTATACTAATATAATAACTTCATGGATTATTCAATTAAATTAAGATAACGATTGGATCCAAAAATATTTATGTAATGTTGTAATCATTGTAGGAAAGATCTAGCAAATTTAAATGTAAAAATATGAGTAACACAATGTATTATATAAGCCATTTAAAATTAAATTTTTTACTTTATTAATAACTAATTTTGTAAATATTTAATATCAACTGTATAGTTGATTAAATTCTGTTTAAAAGTGTAATTTTTAATTTTACCTTGTTATTTTTTTATTTTAATACAAAATAATATTGAAATGTAAATAATATTATATCTATTATTGACTGATTAAGTATTAAGTTTATTTTTTTGTATATTGTACAGCATTAAAAAATTGAAAATTGTATCATTTTAAAAGCAATAACTGTGATTTGAATTTTTATGGTTTAATTTATCAAAATAAAATTTAATATGGTTTTGGTAATATAGTGAAATTCTAAGAATATTTAACATATTAAAAAATAAGTTTTGAATTTAAATCTATGATTTTAGTTTAAGAACAGTGATAAATGTCAAATTAATTCAAACATGAAATAACATTTTAGTTATTTAGTGATTGTTTTTTCATTTAAAAGATTTTTTTACAATAATTGTTTTATTGGAATTCATTAAATATTTTATTGCCTTTCCGTCAATTAAGAGAAAATGTCCAATACTGATGAGCGTGACGTTAGATACCTACAGCGAATTAAAAAGGCTGCGTTGTTTGTTCGTGAAAGCACCATCAATCGCATTAAATCTATACATGAAATGTCTGTTCGCGTTGTTGAGTCTCCTGAGCTGTTACCTGATTTTCTAATATCTGTGAAGGATTTAGACCCATTATGGGAAACATTTTTAGCAAATAATCAAGCCGTACTTGATGCCTTGTCGGATTTAGATTTGCTCGATGAATTTTCCTTAAATTTAGAAACTGATACTCGCGCGTTATGCATAAGAGCATTAGCTACTGCAGATAAATATAAACCTACCTTGCCACGTCAATCACTATCTAATATTAACGATGATGGTGATGAGTCTGTAATTTCCAATAAGTAGTGGGATGCGGTCACGTTTGCCTGAGATACCCCTCCCCTCCTACAGTGGTAGCTTTTTGGATTGGCCGGTCTTTCGTGATAGATTTAAGGCACTGATAGCTCAGCGTACGGATTTGTCTAATATTGAGCGATTTTATTATTTGTTGGGATGTCTAAAAGATGAAGCACTTAATAGTATTCGCAACATTGTTGTATCCGAGACCACCTATGAATTAGCATGGTCAACATTAGTCGATAGATTTGACAGACCTCGACGTAATAATAAATCGACGNATTCTGAAGAATTTCCTGCTGCCTCTGACGTAATAAAGTATGTAAAGGGGCGGGTATCTATTTTAGAGGCTGTCAGCTTTTCTGGTAGTTCACGTCGATCAACAGTTCAACGCGACAACATGAAACCATCAACTTTCCGAAATATAGATAAGCGACCCAAGTTTGCTTTAGTCGCTGCCAAATCTTCTGGTGCTCCTATCTATAATTGTGTTTTTTGTAATGGGTCACATGGACCATCTAAGTGTCGAATGTTTCAATCGGCTTCGGTAGAAGATCGTACCACTATGGTACGAGAAAAGAAGATTTGTTTTAGTTGTTTAAGTAGCTCACATTGGAGCAACCGTTGTAAGAAGCGCCGACCTTGTAAACACTGTCCTAGGATGCACCATAGTCTTCTTCACGTAGATAAATCAGATGGTGAGAACCTATCTAATGTGGACGGAGTACCTGTAAGCAACACTTCGGTAATGGATACCCGTCCAAGACATACCGTCTTATTAGGTACTGCATTAGCTCACATAAAAGACCGTGCAGGTATTTNATCAAAGACCGTGCAGGTATCTTTCAGACTGTTCGAGTTTTAATAGACTCAGCTTCACAAATTAGTGCAGTAACCAGTAGCTGTGTAAATCGTTTAGGATTGTCAAAGAGAAAATGGACAGCGCTCATTTTAGGTCTTGCTGGAGCTAAGGTACCTCTGGTTGAAGGAGTTGTCGACTGTCGACTCACTCCCCGGTATGCTCTACAACATGTATTACATGTAAATGCTTGGGTATTACCTAAAATTACGGCAGACATGCCCAATAGAAGTCTTTCTGTTGACATAAAGTGCCAGTTTGCACACCTCGCACTGGCTGACCCCACATTCGATCAGCCAGCACCAATTGATATGTTAGTGGGCGCGGACATGTTTGCCCAGGTAATGGACGGTAAATGCATCGAAATAAACCGTCAATTACCAGTAGCTTACGGCTCTATATTCGGTTGGGTCTTAATTGGCGGGGTAGGAATACCCACGGACGATTCTTCCCATGTTGTACTTTCGTCATTAATGACATCGCTGGAAGATCTATTAGAAAGATTCTGGGAAATAGAAGAACCAGGACTTAATGAAGATGATGTAACTGAAGAAGGAAGAAGTGAACTAATGTTTCGAAGCCTAACGACCAGAGATAGTCATGGACGGTTCATAGTGCCCTTGCCATTTCGCAAAAACGCGTGCTGTGACAGACTATCGGGCTCACTGCAGGTAGCTACTCGGTGATTTGAAAACTTAGAAAGGAAATTAAAGAGTGACTCTCAGTTATACGGCGCTTATAGGGAGTTCATGAAGGAATATGAGACACTCGGTCACATGACGCCAGCTCCAGTGTCCGGAAAGTATTTCATTCCGCATCACCCGATTATTAAACAAATTGGTGATCAAATTAAACTCCGAGTGGTTTTTGATGCTTCGGCTAGGGCACCTGGGGGTTGTTCACTAAATGATTGCCTCATGTCTGGACCTAAACTGCAGTCCGATATAACGGATGTATTACTTAACTTTCGCCTGTACCAGCACGTCTTCGTAGCTGATATTTGCAAGATGTATCGCCAAGTGCTAATCCAGCCCGAACACCGACAGTACCAGCACATATTATGGCGTGACGTTTCGACTGATCAACTCCGTGAATATCAGTTAAATACGGTTACTTATGGAGTCAATGATGCACAATACTTGGCCATACGTGTATTACATCAAATAGCCAGCGACGATGCTAAAGGATATCCCAGAGTCCAACATGCTCTGCGTCGTCAAACATACGTGGACGACTTATGTGTGGGAGCGCACACTATGGAAGCTTTGATTAGTCTTCAAGAGGAGGTAAGAACTGTTCTTGCTAAATGTGGTATGGAATTGAAGAAGTGGTGCAGCAACACACAGTCAATTCTTGATCACGTACCTGTTGAGGATAGAGCACAAGAGTCGTTGCAGTTCGAGGTAAATAAGGATTCAATCATTAAGGTCCTGGGATTAGTATGGAATGCTGTGGATGACCATTTCAGCTTCAACGTGTTGCTCGACTCTCGCATTTTTATCAAGCGTGGCGTACTTTCGGTTATAGCTCGTATTTTTGACCCACTTGGATTACTAGCTCCAGTAATTTTTACTGCTAAGTGTCTTATGCAAGAAATCTGGCGATCTACCACAACGTGGGATGATCCATTACCTGAGAGAATCATGACAATATGGACTAAGTTTATTGATCAATTACCACGACTATCAGAATTGAGCATACCACGTTTTATTGGTACTAAAACTAGCAGCAAGGTCCAGTTGTGTGGGTTCTGCGATGCGTCCAACAAAGGATATGCAGCATTGGTATATTTACGGTTTCTGGCCACAGATGGTACTATGACTATACATCTACTGAGCGGTAAGACAAAGGTAGCACCTATAAAGACTATGACCATTCCTAGATTGGAGTTGTCTGCTATGTTGTTGTTGGCCAAATGGTTGCGCAAAATAGAAAACCAGCTAAGTCCTACAGTATCTGTGTCAGACGTATGGGGTTGGTCGGATTCCACGGTAGCCCTATCGTGGGTGGCGTCAGCTCATGTATCTTTCAAGGCTTTTGTGACAAACCGTGTGGTTCTTATCCGCCAGCTACTGCCGAGTTGTCAGTGGCGTTATGTACGGACTGACATCAATCCGGCAGATTGCGCCTCTAGGGGATTAATGCCTGCTGAATTGGCTGCGCATAAACTGTACTGGCAGGGTCCGTCCTTTTTGTACCACGCGATTGACACCTGGCCTCAAGAATTTAAAGTCATCTCAGAATCCGAGATGCCGGAAGTTCAACAAGTGTCGATATTGGTATCGGCACAAAGTGTATCCTCTTCGGACTTCTTAACCAGACGGTTTTCTAATTACGGTAGAATGCTCCGGGTGGTTGCTCGGATACGACGCTGGTTAAAGTACAGACGCCATGAACCTGTCTGTTCGGTTTCCCTATCAATTTTGGAATTGAGAGACGCGCTCACTGCTATCACTCGTTATGTACAACGAAAAACCATGTCAGATCTTATTGTCGAGTTACAAAACAGGAGACCTGTTTCATCAAAGGTGTTTTCACGTTTGATGCCGTTTATAGATGATAACAGGATAGTACGCATAGGAGGGCGTTTACAAAATGCCGACCTTCATGAACATCAAAAACACCCTATNTTAAAACTTTCATGGATTGTTTTGTTGCTTGAAGTGCTTGAGGATATATCCATGTTTACAGTTGAGTTCTGACGTTTCGGACTCATTGCAGAGTCCATCTTCAGAGTGATGGTTGCTAGTCGGTAGCTGCAACTATACTGCTACAGTACTCTGAAGATGGACTCTGCAATGAGTCCGAAACGTCAGAACTCAACTGTAAACATGGATATATCCTCAAGCACTTCAAGCAACAAAACAATCCATGAAAGTTTTAACACATTCACCCTATTCTGCTCACCCGGGATTGTCATTTGGCTATGCTTTTGTGTCAGCATTGGCATCGCGTCACTTGTCACTCTGGACCCCGACTTATTGTCAGCCTTATTGTGCGCCATTTCTGGATCATATCTGTTCGTGTACTCGTGCGTCGAGTGGCGACCATGTGTAGTACATGTGTACGTTTAGCTGCCGTTAATCCTTAGCCACTGATGGCTGACCTGCCTACTTCTCGTGTTCAGCAGTGTCGTGTGTACTACGTGTAGGAATTGATTATGTGGTTATGCCCTTTCTCCTTCACAGAAACGTCTCTCCGAAAGTCCAGAGTTTATAAGGGATATGTGGCAATATTTGTCTGCTTTGCTGTTAAAGCCACTCATTTAGAAGTAGTGTCCAGTTTGTCTACGGAGGCATTTCTGGCTACCTTAGATCGATTTGTAGCAAGACGGGGTATTCCCACAGACATTCATTCAGATTGTGGTACAAATTTTATCGGAGCAGCTAATGTTTTACGGTCACTCATCCAGACTGCGGATGCACGGGAGCGAATTGAAGCGTCAATACCCGCTCACTGGCATTTCAACCCCCCATCTGTGNTTGGCATTTCAACCCCCCATCTGCGCCCCACTTCGGTGGACTTTGGGAGGCGGCAGTCCGTGCCATGAAGGCACGACTAACGCGGGTACTATGTAACCATGTACCCACGTATGAAGAATTTACTACTCTAATTACACGGGTTAANAAGAATTTACTACTCTAATTACCCGGGTTGAGGCTGTACTGAATTCTCGACCATTAACCCCTATGTCTGCAGACCCTCAAGATTTAGACTACCTAACACCCGGACATTTTTTAATTGGCCAACCTCTCCTAGCCATTCCATACCCTCCCACTCCAGAGATCTCAAAAAATCAATTCCAACGATGGAAATTATTTGAGAATTGCCAACAGAGTTTTTGGAAGCTGTGGTCTCAGGACTATCTACATACATTACAACAACGGTCGAAGTGGACCAAAGAACAACCCAACATCGCGGTAGGAGATATGGTTGTGATAAAAGAGAACAATACAAGTCCGTTAGTATGGAGGTTAGGTAGGGTGACGGGTGTTATTCTTGGCAAGGATAAAATTGCGCGCGTAGCCCAGTTGCACACTATTAACGGACAGATTACTAGGCCAATCGTGAAGCTGGTATTATTACCAACGTCATGACTCCTTGAGCACATATTCATTATTTCCCTAGTCTAAATATTAAGTTCCTATGTTTCCTTACCATATATATATATATTTTTTTAATTATACAATAGTATCTTTATTTATTAATAATTGATTTTGTTGTAACTTATAATTATTTTTTTTAATCATTTTTTCCTTATTCAACTGTTATTGTAGTTAAATAATAAGTTCTTTTTATATGTCATATCATTATTGTATTTTAGTTGTGTGTTCTATAATTGTAGATGTCATTGTTGATAATTAATGTTACCTTAATTTAATAATCGTTTTGTTTTTTTTTTTGTAACCATTTAATT